AAAATCTGAAATGTGCTAGTCTTCCACGCAAATAACGAAATGTGCTACTCTTCCACGCAAAAGTCTGAAATGTGCTAGTCTTCCACGCAAATAACGAAATGTGCTAGTCTTCCACGCAAAAATCTTAAATGTGCTAGTCTTCCACGCGAGAATCTGAAATGTGCTACTTTTCGACGCGAATAATGAAACGTGCTAGTCTTCCACGGTAATTTGAGATGTGCTACTCTTCGTTGGGAGCGACGATATGAGCTCGCACTGGCAGGAGAAGACTGGGCGTGATTGGGCGTTTTCATATCAGCCGACACGGCACCGACACGACTCCGAAACCGATGTCGACAGGTGCTCTATCACCTATGAGCATTTTCACATTTGCCGATTTGTCGGTATTCGGTCGGCGCCGACAACGACATGTCGATGAGCAACAGGCACTCCACTGGTGTCGGCGTCGGCTTATGTGAAAACGCCCATTGGCGCATTTTTAGATACAAATAGTCGATAGCAAATTCGATAAAAGATATCGATAGCACTTTCGATAAAAAAATCGATATCAATATCGATAGCAAAATCTATTAAAATATCGATAAAAAATATCGATAACAACACCATAACAAAATCGATAAAAATATCTTAATCTTTTTTCCTCTTCATCTTTACCTTTATCGGTATCCGCATCATCTTTTTCTTAATATTTAATTGAAATTCAAGATTTAAAAAAAGGCGTTGAAATGTGTTTTAATCTTTGTATAAAGTTTGACATTTCGAGTTATAGGTTTTTGTTAGATAATGAGCTATACTTTAATAAAAAATTGATAAACATTAAATAAACAGAAGAAAAATTTGTCAAAATGTTGCATTTCTATCATTTTGGCCATAGGTGTATGTGTTTTATAAATAATGGAATGACAATTCCAAGGATTCTCATGACCTCAAGCAGCTATTCATATTTACTTGAACAAAGCTCTGCAGGTATCCATAAGCTCTTTCGATTCATTAAATTAAAAAAATTTTCTTCAATTTAGGGTATCTCTACTCAGTTAGATGAAATCAACCACTTGAATACACATAACCTAACCTAACCTGTCATTTCCATTTAATTTTTGCATAAGTACATATCGTGCCTCAAGTCATCAGCGAATCTGCATTAATACGTTCAATGTTCACCATCCAAACGCATAGTCGTAAACACAGCTGCCACGCTTGCGTTGTATTATAAACCGGAATGAAATACTTCTTAATAGATTTTTAGGCAAATGATCTCATTGCAGTACACACACTCACAGTACACACATACTCGCCTATGTCTAGGTATTTGTTTAAATAAGTGTTGAATTCTTATAAAAGGAAAAACTTGTACATTTCGTTACAACTGGGGCTTGTATAAAGCTGATGTACGCAGTCCTAATGACAAAAAGTTAATTAATTAAAAAATACTTAAGTACTCAGTTGAATTGCTACCTAAAAAGAATTAGTTAATTCCAGCAGACACCAAAGCGTTCGCTCGGTCATTTCAATGACAAGAAAATACAACCTTAAGTATGTTGGCTGTTAGCGTCCACAGGTAGAAGCTGGCGGTTATGACCAAGCACGACTCGCATGCCACTCGGCGTGTGGTCCGGCTGCGAAAACAAGTTTCTTTTCTTTATACATTTCTTTTCATCTCTTCCATCATACGCGCACACTTATACAAATTTGCGTTTTCCCGTTACTTGCTTAAAATGAGCACATAAGTATACATGTACATTGAAAAAAAATTAAAACAGCAAGCTACAGTTTTTTTCCTGGTTCTTTTATTTTCTCATTTTCTTTTGCATCTCTTGGTGGTTGTTGAAAAACAAATTAAAAAATGTCAATGTTAACACAGCTGTAGCAGGTGGCCTTCTAAGTTGGTAACTGCTATTAGATTTGTATTGGTGTTGGCTGACTACTGATGACTGACACTGGCCATGGCAATGACAGCAATTGCCATTAGATTACCACAAATGGTAGTGACCCCCCAGCATGTGCCTGACCACCAATAGCCGCGGGGAATTCGTTGTAGCGGAGTGTGAAAATCAAAGGCGATTAATGAAATCTTCTATAGATTTATTTGTGTACCACGCATGTACATAGAAACAGGCATATGCACATTAGGGTGTACCAGAAATTTTATTTTACGAAATTTGATTACATAAAAAATTTTTCCTTTTGACCTAAACAGCTTATGCGCTTATTAAGTTAAATGACATTAACACCAGTTTTGGTTATTTCTCTTTGTTTATTTAATGTTTTTTATTAAAGTAAATTTTTTTTATAAAAATCTAGCATATTACATAACCAGCACCACATAAATCCACATTTCAAACTTCTTACAAAAATTAAAAAAAATTCAACAAATTTTTACAATTACACCTAAAAATTTTAAACTTTTTATAAAAAAATTTTTGAAAAATTTTAGGTATGCAGTTTTATAGCTCACTAATTAAAACGATAGAAAATCGCGTTAATTTTGAATTTTTTTTTTGCTGGACGTGTTAGGCATTTTCCTCCATTTAAAAGTGATTGTCAAGCATATTTCTTATGGGATAAAATGATCAACACCGTCAGCCAAAAAAAAACAAAATTTTAATCAACGCGATTTCCAAGCTTCATGAAATTTGCACTTTAATATACTAAAATTTCATGGGCTATAAAACTTTGGACCCAAAAATTTTCTAAAACTGTTAAGTAAAAAGTTTAAAATTGTTGGGTGTAATTGTTAAAGTTTGTTTAATTTTTATAAATTGTTTACGGAAGTTGAAATGTGGATTTATTTATATGGCGCTGTTT